GCATGGTAGTGGAGGATAAGACGCGCTATATCTCAGTTAGCTTGCAAATTATGACGGTCTGAAGCTGTTCCCCATGACCCATTGGTGCAAGCTGCTGACTGGCAGTTCAAGCCGTTGGTGGTCATAGGTTCGAATCCTGTTGGATCCGATGGATGTGCACTACTGATGATGCCCAACAGGCTTCAACTGCAGTCTAGTGCTTATCCGCGTATCGAGGACTCTTATTTGGAAACTGGTGACATGAACTCTCAATTGACTAATACATTGTTTAACTTCAACTCTAAGTGACTGCATTTGTTCACTTGTAAGAATACCACTGCTGGCTGCTCTGTCCTTAATGTAATCATGACAGGTGTTTACTAAACTGAACATCATGTTCTCAACGTCCTCCGGTGAATTTGGTGACAGGTCACGCGTCTGCGCCATTAATTTCTCAAACTACACCTGGTCAGCTTGTTTTACAAGGCCAGCCAAACTTAAGGACCTAATGATAAAATGTTTAGTTGTGTTGGGGTGAGCAAGACACTAGAGTGGTTCAACAGCTACCGCTCCGGGTTACTCGAAGAAGTCAGTTGTGGTACTTGTACATAATGTGCCTAAAGCAGATCAAAGTCACGGATTGTTGGAGGGTTGCTGGCACAACGACAGTACCGACGGAAGAGACAGGTAAATATCGTCTAATCGTATGCACTTTAGTGACTTGGAGGCAGGCATTAGCAGTACACCGGTACGTAGTACCTACATTTCGCTGTTGAGCAACTACCACCAATCGCGCGTTGGCTAAGGATACTGCAAAGGTTGCCCGGTCTCCTACACAGACTGGAACCCACGACTTCAGATTACAAGGCAGGCTTTTGCTCTTTAAGGCCACAGCTTGAAAGTTCTTTGGGAAACGTATTCTCGTTTATATGGCCTTCACCGGTTTACATTTGGGAGTTCAAGGTGCACACAGTGTTATCATCGCTAAAGAATAAAAACAAATCCACCCGTCAACTTCCTTGAGTGCAACAACCTTTTTTGGCTGTGTCGACTGTGTTTCGCTGTTGCGAGGTCCACTTGCTTCTGGCATTCAGCCTTCTTGCTGAGGGATTACTTGGCCAAACGTACTCAGGCCACCAGCTTCAACAGCGGAGGTTTCTCGCCTTTTACCACAACTTTTGGCGCCATTTAAGGAGCTATTCTACCACCATTCCTACTCTCTACCTACGCTCGCTCTATGCCTGTCCCCGACGAATCCATATTGCTAAAATAGGCTGATGACGTAGCCATCGGCATGAATCTTCCAACCTCAGTCTATAACCGATCACCATTCATCATTATACACGTTGGCTAGTGGTACAAAACACCTGAGCTATTGTGCAGCAATACTTAAGAAGAAAAAATACTTGCAACAGAAGCATGCCGCTTGAGTCACCAGTAACGGATGGGCATCATTCCGGAGAGTTAACAGCCGGTTATTGTGTCGCGAATAGAGTTGCATTATGTCTGCTAAATGAGATAGTGGTTGGAGGGGATGCTAAGCATATGGGCGAAGGACAAAGAAACTCCTAAGACAAGCGCCACTGTGGTCGACTGCTGACCATGTTAACAAATGTACCCAGTCAAACGTGTTCACGGTCTTTCGGACCCCAACCAGTGAGCCTAGACGCTCCAATCGAGACCAACTACGAACTAAGGGCCTTCATTCTTCCTGACCAATTCATCGCCTGACCACCCCTGTTCTTACAACCACACCCCCGGCGCGCAAACAACACGTCACGCGCGCAACACGTGGCCCAGCCATCGGAGGCCGGTGCGTGAAATAACGGTGCTGAGCGGTTCATTTCCTGTGCCATAAATAAGGCGTCGAACATGCTCACTGCTCATGTGGTGTTCCCACCAGAAGTCGTCCACCCGGGAGCAGCTCCACACTTTCACAGTCCTATCCATGACCTCGTCGAGGAGAATTTGAAGAGGAAAGGTGAAAGTGTACATCCTTGTTTCGCACCGCTGGAGATATTGAAGAGTGGCGATAGGTTGCCATGAGCTCTCGCTCTTCCAGAGCTACGCGCGTAAAGCACTTGAGTAGTATTTACTTGTTTATTTGGCACCTTTCCTGAGCCGGCAGTCCCAAAGGCACATCCGTCCACCAAATCGAAGGCGCCCTTGATGTCGAAGGACACGACAACGGTGGGTCACAAATATGTGTGACGGTGCTCCAACAACTGACGCATAGTGCAGATGTGATCGAGGCAGCCTCGACTTCGATGCCTCTTTGACCGAGCTGCACAGTTGTTTGGGTGAACTAGTACTATACTCGAAATTTTGTTGCTTAATTTTAGAAGCATACAGGTGCAGGATTATTCCATTTTTACCTGATAAAGAAGTTTGTTACCAGGAATTTGTCACTGACTGTCCCAAACTTCAGATCGCTGGCGAGAAGCAATCTTATCAGATTATACAAACCACAACACCTTAGATTTCGGTCACCCAACTCCACGACCAAACCACAGATGTATGTAAAACGAACTCATTAATGCTCCGAACTTCATTTCTCCTTTTCCGAATGTCCTGAGATGCAAGGATGTTTTTTTTCTTCCCACATGGAGGATATCGTTAGCAGTTAGTTTTTAGCTGCTGCGCTCACATACACATTAGAGATATATTGAGGGGCCACACTGAACGGTTGCATGTCGTGTTGGTTCAAGTAAATTGCAAAACAACGAAAGTTCTGCTGTCACAGAGATTTTCCTTCGTATTTTTACCTGATCTTGTGTTTTGTTATTGGTGGTGTTGTACCATGTCAGACGTATTACATTGCGTCAGCTCTGCCGGGTCTACTGGTCGTGCATTCCAGGGAGCCTAACTGGATTATAGAACTGTCTGGATGTAACACTATTCAAAATTCTACGTTTTTAATACCACCACACCTACTCCCATTGCCTCACGATACAATCGACATCTATCACCAACTGGTAATGCTCTGCTTGAGGGCATGATTGTTTCCTAGAGATGGCTTAGATACAAAACCGTATTTACCAGCGTCCATGTCCTCGTCCTTCGGTTATCTTTCACGTGACAACTTTTCCTGAGCCCAGAGATTTACTACTCAAGAATTTCCCAAAAATCTGATCGGAGATGGTTGTTTCTCCCATGGAATTCGCTTTTAATAACTTATTTTTCTCGCAACGGATTATTCACCTTTCCTGAATGCTTGAAACGCTTTCTTGGTTTGATTCAAATACATCACTCTAGGGACACCAGCCAGATAGCCGGAACCCTTTTGCACTACAGAACATAAGCTGCTTGTGAGTGACAATGATGAATTAGCTGCATTATACCAAAATTCTCACTACTACTCATCAGTACTATAAAATATGTCTGTATAGCTTCTAAGTTCTGTGTGATACATAGGCGCTATGCGGAAAGTCCTAGCTCGTGAGGCTAGCTATTGTCCTCTGGACAGTTTGTAACTGGCATGGCAGTGGAAGATGAGCCGGGCTATATCATAGTCAACTGTCAATCACTCAGGTCCGCGGCTGTCACTCATGGCGAAGTGGCACTAGCTGCTGGCATCCTGAAATCATGGGGACAAGACCAGGCAGGGGTCCGCTGGGAGGCGCACCACTGACGAGACCCAGAAGGTCGGATCACCGACGTCTGGTGCTTTTCCAGACTAGCCTAAGCCTGCTGATTGGGAGTGACAATGATGAATTAGGTGAATCAGCTAGTACCCTGAGCACTGAGACTATCCACTGGGCGCGTTGAACACAATGTTTAACCGACAGTACTCGTCTTGTTGGCAGTTCTAGTTGTGAAACAATTGAGTTTTAAACGAATTTGCGTTACAGTTCGCAGTGATTTCGGGAAGCGTGAGACTTTGACGTGAACTCACATGTTCACGAGAACTTTTTCGCATAGTAGACCGTATCACACACGCAAATAAACACGTTTGTTTTGTCCTGAATAATAAGTCAGCACCATTCGTTTCTTGTCCAATGCCATGTGATTGGTTTACCCAGTCACGGTTTTCAGCTGCTCTTTCAGTACGAAAGCATCTGAGCGAATATCGCGTTTGCCAATCGGCTCTCCTCGCTTATGTTTCACTACACAGCGATGTAGAGCGGTCAGGGTTGTTCTAGTCGAGTAGTCATTCCTTCAGTTAATATGCGCTTTTTACTCCATCCTCCACCAACTGTCTGCCCGTAGAAGCGTTGTTTTTCCTTACTGCTTTGGCTCTGAATTCCGTGTCATGTCACATAATCTTAGTGTGAAAGTATTGAACGTTATACATCAACTTCCTTCATTATCATATGACGGTGGTGTATACATTTAGCGATTTGACACGTTTCCCTTTCAGACGCTCTTGTTCTTCTTTCACCATGATTGTTGCTCTCATTTTGGTAGAAGTTCAGGGTGCGGCTTTAGCAACCGCTGCCTTTGTTTCTATAGCAACTGTTTGTGCAGCTGGAGCGTCTTCTCTCACTAACTTATTCCTCAACACACCTTGACTAGGGTTGATAAAATACCGAACCTTCGGAGTGTCTGAGGACATTTCAATTCATCACAACACCCTCCGCAATCCATGCCCGGTTGCCACTGTCCTGTTGTGTGCACCCACTGCTAATCCTGTGACCGGAAGTATGACGAGGACCGCTTTAACATGCTATTGCGGCTTGTTATTCAGCTTCTTACCATCCACCGAAAAACCCAACCCGCCTAAGTTATTTGTGATCGTGTAATTGCATCCTAACTGATCTGGAGGTAAAACGTCCTAAATGACGTATGTTACATTACCTGCATTTGGCTCATACACGTACAATCCAAATGAGTCTAGTCCTACTGTTAATCCTTATCATATTTTCTGGTGGCACTTGTTACAACTTGAACCTTTTTGCTTACTTATAAACAAAAGCCTTGTTGAGTTTCTGTTTAGACACCATAACAGCTGAGAACCAACTTTTCTAATTAATAGAACATTTTTGTCATAATCCTCTGCATTTTCCGCTTGTTCGTTTCAGGTGCGATTTCTCCGCTACAGTTGAGCAGATTCGCTCGCTTCACGACACTTTTGGCAACGACTTTACCGTCCCTGACAATTTTGAACGAACCGCCCCTATTTACAAACCTGATGATATCAGTACTCCTCATTCGAAAGGTTTTCCTCGTACCCTGGCACAACAGGCTGCGATGAAACAGCAGCCGATATTCTCCAATCCGCAAACGGAGCTTCTCTGTGCCATGCTGGATTTGATAAATCCGAACGCGTTGCTTCTCGGTCGCGAGTCTTATAGTTTGCAGGAGCTGTCTTCTCTCTTAAAGGAGAAAAAAGGTCCTGAATCCGAAGACGAAGGAGGTGATGTGCAAGATACCAACGAACACGAGGAAGAACAAAACGATGATGACTCATTGGCGCTTCCTGCTGGTGGTCTTTTGGATCATGGAGCTAGCTGGGTGTCTTCCACTTACTCGCAATCGCGGGTAGATGCATCGGAGTATGACCCTCTGGATAGCGTGTGTATGTCACCCCGGCAGCAGCTGAATATGAATCCTTCCCAAGGCGAGCTCTCAAGCGCTTGTCAAGGGGAATATCGTCCAGAAATCGAAGAGGGTGAGGAGCAGCAAGTAGACAAGAGATACATCGGTGACAGTTGTCACATTCTTCCAGGTCAAGCATCACCTTCTTCAGTTAATGCTTACAGTCCACAACCTTTTGCCATCCCCTCTGACGACAAACCAACCGATAAGCCGGTTGTTCTGACAGATGAAATCTATTACACTGCGAATGGTGCGGATGTAGAACGTTCTCTGAATTCAGAAGAAATTCCACTTCCCTCCTCAAGTGACGACGATGACACGACTTGAGCAGTCACTCAATTTGTGCAATTAGAAACATGTATTTAAGCATTTGGCGCCACTATTTGTTGATAGATATTTAGTCTTTCTACTTCTTTCACCTTTTGTTTTTTTACACCGTACGCGCCGGATGGCCGCAACGCGCATACGCAGACTGACCTCCGTTAACTGCTGTTGATGCTGCAGATGGGCCTTTAGAGGTCGGTGAATTTAACCGAAGCTAAAAAAGAAAAGTCCGGAAACGGCAGCACCAACTGACTAGCTAATGTGTGATGCAAAGCCTAAGGAATCAGTGACGTGTTTTCGCCGGCCGTGATGTTCTTTTCAGGACGCGGTGACCAAACACCCCATTAGAGAACTGACAAGGGACCGAGTAGTTCGGGCTCCTGACTTGTGATCTACAGGTCGTACGTCTGGGTAAGTGCGAACGGCCTTTTAATTCTCCTATCTCGCATGTTAGTGGCTACCTAAAAGCGAAGCGTTGTAACCGCGTACCAGTGTCGAGGGCTACCTAGCTGCCTCACCAGAGCGCCATAAAAAATGGCTTTGCTCCTTCTGGAAACTGGATTGTCAGGGGACTGAATTTTCATATGTCGGTTACTTCGATTCGTACGTTAGCATACATTCCCCGGTTGCTCTCAACTATTACATCCCATGGAGCTTGATTCGCGTCTCCTCTCAAATATTCTATGGTCGCAACGCCGTTTTGAGTTATCCCTCTTTGTTACAGATTCGTATCGTTTATTCACCACACAATATTCCCTAGTATGTTGGCCTTATCGTCATTGGTCGGAAAATTCATGCTCCAGACGCGGACTAGATGGGGAGACTTGTCACGTTCTTGAAGTGATTCACCAATTTTCTATACCCATCCGCAACCTGTGTATTCAGACAGACAACACCAAATGCTCATCTGTTCCACCAATTACGGTCCCATTCTTCGAATTAACCGTGGTTCACCTCAATGCTAATCGCGTTCCACACTTGGATTAGCTCGTCGTAATCCGTGCCCACAACGTACGCTTCAAAACGACCCATCTATTTAGTTAGATCTCAAGGTCTATGACTGCAGCCTCGCTTTTTCCACTTGGTTATCTTACGACTCCATGCCATCTCGCTGCAACCATCTAGATTTCGATGATGGCTTTGCTGCTATCCCGAAAGAAAGAAAGCTGACGTCCGAGTTTTTGTCCACATTTTTTTCGCGTGGGTGTATCACTTATTATAGCAGGTCACTGTTACCCGATGAGTGTTAACAATACGTAAGCACATCGGCACCACCGTTCGCCCTGGTATATCAGGAGAATCATACCGTCTTCGGTTTCTGGACCTTTTGTGATGCCCACGCTCATCAATTTCCATGCATTCTATCTGGCCAGTTGACCACAATCTTCCTTGGTTGCCCAGCTAGTATTGTCTGACGAAGCTCATCGTCAGCAGGTTGTCACTTTTTCTTCGAATGTGAGAGAGAAGTGTGGTCGGGCCGGTTTAAACTTCCCCCTGGTGCGTAGGAGGTTCCGATTATTGGGTCTGCTTTGATCCAATAATCAGTTGCCAGTATATATTGCTTCCATTCCCTCAGGGAATGAGACACAGTTCTTGGGATGCATACTTTAAACCCGCTTATGCGCAACTGAATAATCAGAGGCGGATGAATGGCTCCTATTTGCACGTGCAGTCGCACTAATTGTGCCCCCTTCACATTTGAAAATGAGGTTCCATGTGTATTGCAGTCACTAGCTTACACATTTTAGATGTATATTAAATCAAAGTAATCGCGGGGTGTCATCCGTTGTCATTTGCCAAATGGTAGATTTTTTATTGACTACGCGGGTCCCGATTGTTTGTCAAAAAAGCGACAAGCCATGGCATTCCACTCTACCAAACGATTCTAGTGTAGCATTCTGGCGTCACTGTTTCTGTTTTGGAGTGGAACTACGCCCGGCCGACCTACTTCACTAAATGAAGTGGAGGGAATAAAGCAGTACTGCACCACAGGTACACTCCCACAAAAATCAGTTCCCAATAGTTTCACTCGCAATTTCACGTTTGTTCAACCTAGTAAGGCTCAGATCAAGGTCATCCAGTTAGCCCTTAGTCTCGCACATTACTTCAACCACTTCGATTATTCAGTGCACGTTCCGCCGGTCTATATATCGTATTGGAAAATAACTCTTTCAAGTCCGACTTCCTCCGGCCAACCCTGTGGCAAATGATGATCAACCGTCAATTCGCCATCATGAGGGGTTCAAACTACAATTCCTGTTAGTAGTGTTTACTGTTGGTCTTTCTTAATTTCAGTCGAGTTAACATCAATATTCAGGGAAAGTCAGTGACGATGAGTTTGCATATCGGACTACTGGACTGGTCCAAGAAGTTAAGTGATCCTCTTTATTGTCCATCTAGCGTGTGGTTTGAGACCGTGCGTGTGCATCACATGTCAAGGCACACATGAATTCTTCAATAGGGGTATACTCGGGTCTACCTGATATACTACTTCATTCTTTCTAGCCTAACAAAAATGGAGGAACACAGCTTGCTAATATTTTCTGGTAGCCACGTTGAAGTGCGTGCCAGCTATATCCCACCTGGTGACCACGACACGTGGTTGGCGGTATTCGGTTTCGGATTTGCCTGTCACTGCGGTCTCCGTAAGACGAACACAGGACGCGTGCGTCCACAGAGGGACCATGAGTGGCTTGCGCTGCACCACTCACAGCTTCATCCACACACCCCATATCCGATGTAAACCCGAAGGAATAAGACCGGGAGGCGTGCGGATGGAAGCCCCAGAGCTGGCCTACACTCATTCAACATACACAGCAGCAGCATTCCTGTCTATCTGTATAGGGAATCATGCGTATCAGAAGTACACAAGTCGGTGGCTGGGCCGTAGTCCGCTCCGCACTGGATGGAACCACACCCTGAGCCTAATACGGTCACGATGACCTTGCAGCCCGTCCCCCAGCAAAGATTAGCTGTGTCCTGGACCCAGTAATCGAGGCGGAAGATGTTACACAAGTAGGCGCCTTGTCAACATGTACCTCAAGTGCAGCCACATGGGGGATTTCAAACAACCAACACTAAATTCGAAGGAAACCAAACACACACAACTGGCACGGAATAACAGAACTGGGCAAATCAAATAAATTGGGACGTTGTTGATCAATATTAAAAAGATTTGGCTTATGTTTAAGTCGGTGTAGAAGGATGATGTATGAAACATGAACCTCAGCACGAAGTCCTAAACATTTAGACAACTCCACGCAGGTTGAAAGATTTGTTGTATAGTTCTCTTCTGTATTTCTAAGACAACGTCTAAGATGCCCAAAGATGGTTTGTGATGTGCAGTTTGTGCGGTTTCAGTCGATATCATCCGGAAATTTCAGTGTCTATATCTTTGCGTGAGATAGATCTCACCAGTCCGGAGATCGGATTCAGCAAGTTTGCTGATGCTATATTGCGGAGGGCAATTAGTTAATGCGCCTTGCGTACTGCAGCCACAGTTTATTCTTATTGTTCTTTTGGGTTATACACATATATAGTATATAGCAGGAATATCACAGGGTTTCAAAAGGTATTAAAGGAATTCGTAACAATCAAATGTAGTCGCAGTGCCATCGACACACGGCTGATTCGCATTCCGGAACTCGCCAGCTGTCCAACTACGAGGGTGTTGACTGTCGACAGCCGAGCAGCTAGTCGTGACTTGTGACTGATAACAACTGACAGACTGCCATCGCATATTTATTGACATTAAGGTGAAAGGAAAATGTGCAGAGGGACAAACTCTCAGCACGCCACCACTGCGTTCGTTTTCCGCCTTATCCGAAAGCGGTTCCAACCAACCTGGTAGTGGAACAGTACCCTGCCATGACTAACTTTAAGGCTTGCGCCTTGACACTTTGAGAGCAAATCCTACATTTGCCATCACTTCCAGCCAACGTCACCGCGCGTAACGGTGCATGGTCCGGTGCTAACTGAGCAGGTGTGCTGAACCTTTGCTCAAACCACCACCGCAGCAAGCATTCTGTTTGGTTTGGAAGTTCATCGACGAACGTTTCCATTACTGCTACATCACATCGTGCACCATCCATGCGCTGTATGTAGAGGGCTTGGTCCGGTCAGCGTACACCACCACGCTGCATTCCTGGTGTTTATTTGTAAAAGCATTATCGGTGGTCGTCGGCGCTGTTTCCATGTCTAAGTGCTGCCTCGTGGGCACTAATTGTCAAAGATGAGCTGTCCTCGATGCTTCACTCCCTAATCAACGGCAGTACTTTAGCATTATGTACTAGTTGACCCTTGCTCATACGTGAACAGTAACCTTGTTGTAGTGTAAACGCTGGCCACATCCAGTGAATGCGAGTCCCCAAGCCAAGTGTCAAAGAAGGCGGTGTATGTGTGGCTGAACCACGGAGCACTGACCCCACTGAGAAAATAAACACGAGGCCTTAGTGTAGAGCAGCTAATTGCAAACAGACAGCATGGATGCCGAATCCAGCATATCCCTCCTTGAAATGAACGAAACACTAACCAGCTAGTGCAGTCTTTTGGTAGAGCAAATCAATAAACATCGAAAAGGGGGCTCACCCCGTTACGAACAGTAGATTGATAATGTGGTCGGCATCTGTGGTACGGTGGGGAGTGCGGCCATATGGCTGATGTCCTCTTGCTGATAGTTCTGTCAGTACGTTAAATGAAACGACTCACTAAGTCCCGAGTGAAGTCGAACTGTTGATTTCTATCCTGTACACATTACTTTGGGATTTGTAGACATGATCAAGTACCTCTACTTTGCAGCATTCTTGGGAATCGCATTCAACACAGAACTGGGTTCGATCGTTATGCTCGGGTACAAAAATAAAGGTGGTATTGTTACACAATGACTTTGTAATCAACCGAGATCGATTTATAAGGCAGTACTGTACTCAAGGGGTCAACGTCCACGGCTCCTCATTAGTTTCTAACGCAAACTCTGTTCCACACTAACTTGTCTGTTGGAAGAAATGTGCTGATGCTGCGATCCAGCGCAATGTTGCTGCAGTTTCTCAAAAGCATATTCGAACGGATGTACACTGCTCACTTCAGCGTACGATTGTGAGTGATAAGATAAGGCCCGAGGGCGTCCTACAT